AACAAAAAAGTTTATTCCAAACGTTCAGAATGAATAAAGAAATGCAGTCATTATGTAGGTTTTATTACGATAAGTTTGCTCAAACTATCCATAAACGGAGTGATTTAAAATCGAGTATCTTATTCCATTTCAGACAATAAAAATATCTTATATGGGAAATATGGTTTATATAATGATTTTTATTGTTGTGTAGGCTTTTATTAAGTGTTTGGTACTTTGGATGTATCTTCATAAAGAAATAATTTCTCATCGATAGGGATGGTTTTTTTCCAATTTTACATTAAAAATTTATACATGTATCGTTGCATAATCGATACATAACACCCTTATCAATTTGACAGCTATTTTTCTTATCTCATGTTTGTAAACAACTTTGGCTAAAGTAAAGAAGGCCGCAGATCACTTTCCTAATTGAAATGTTTTCTGGCCATGCCCATCTAAAAAGACGAACACCAGAAGGAGGAATACCAAGGCCGGATTATATTGAATATCTGGTTGAAGAGTATCATACCACCACCAACGTCGGTGAGCAAACAATTCTTGATCTTTAAAGCTAATAATAATCAATAAAATTAAATAAAATATGTATCTGTCAGAGGCAAAGGAGCAAGTAACAGCGAACTTAGCTAACTTCGCTTATGATCCAATTAATTGGGAATATCTAAAAGAAGCTGGGGCATTGGAAGTTTTTGAGGAATGCACCAAGAGTCCAAACGAGCGATTGCAACTTCATGCGCTTGCTGGATATTGTAATATTTGTTTAGGTAACATTTTATCCTAAATTTTTTAACTATATATATATATATATATATATATATATATATATATGTATTTTGTTCCATAGATCCTGCAGCATTCAATTTTTTAACTAAGCCTGAAGTAAACTCTCAAGTCAAACTATTACTACAGACATCAGAAGCGACCGACCTTCATCTTAATTCCATTGCTCTTTTCTATCAACTAATAACTGCGGACAATTGCTCGCAAGAGGAAAAAAGTCGAGTCATCACCCCGCATTTGCTAAAGACAATAACCAACTTGCGTAACCTAAGTCCGGATCCACGTGTTAAGAACTTGGCTGCATTGTTTTGCGAAGATTTTGGATCACGCATAGAGGAAGTGGTAGATTCTAAAAATGTACTTGAAAGTTCTAAAAAGGTGTAAAAGTCACATAGCGACACAGGGGAAAGTTATTATATTAGTCAAACGCTTCAGCCAGCACGAGTTAGACCAGTTTTCATCTCTAACCGGCGATAATAATCCTATACATAGTGTAGCGACACCAATATCTGAGCGTAAAGTGCATGGTGCTTTCCTAAATGCAATTGTGGCTGGTATTATTGGTACGCAGTTGCCTGGGGCTGGAACAGTAGTGCTAAGTCAAAACTTTAGTTTCCCGCATGCTTGCCGCGTTGATGGCGATGTCCACATTTCAGTGCGTCTAGTGAAAGAGCGCAAAATATCACTAGTAGAATACGAATGCCGCCAAGGCGAAAATGTAGTTTTTGTAGGCGATGCTAAACTTTTAATAAAACAATAAATTTTTAACATATAGTACATAACTTATCTTTATTTTTAGCAGTGCACAACTATTTTTTGGAAGCGCGCTTGCCTTCTCCCTTCTTCGGCGCGGCCTTGCCACGCAATCGCCGCATTCGCTTCATTTCTTCCTTGAAATCTTCATGCTCATCCCGGTACAAACCATAAGCCCGTAAGTTCTTCATAAGTACGTGCGTTTCAACGTGTCGGGGATACCAGTTATTCAATGAATCGCGCTTGTGTACTGGCTCTTCAGCGAACATACGTACGACCTTCATAGATTTTTCATTGGTCGTACGTGCCACTTCCCCGAATATACGGTTGGAGAGATAGTCCATCCGTCGTGCATATTGAGTACCAAGCTTAATCAATTCATTATATTTATAAGCGGACATCGCAATTTATAAAACTACGTCCCTTATTTTGAGAAATTAGAAAAAAAAATTTTTGTTATGGTTATGTCATTTATCCTAAAACAGGTGATTTATGCTTAACACAGGGTTGCATCCATTTTAATAAGCGCTGTCAAATCAATCCAGTTCTAAACACATGTAATGGTATGTGTACACAATTTGGTTTATCCACATTTTCCAGGTTCACTCAGTAAAACTGAAGGTACACAACATGCGTTCAGGAACGAATGACACAAGGTCACGCAAGAACAAGAGAGTGAAAAAAGCCGATATTTTGAGCGGTTTCTACGCCATATTGTTCCGCTGGAAAACGAGCGAAAAGTAAACAAAGCAGAAAAAAAAAAAACAAAATTAACCTAAATTATTGTCAGCCACTTTAAGCGCACAATTTCGGCAAAATTGTTTATAAAGGTGCTTTAAAATGTGTTGTCATGTTGAATTAAAATAAAATAAAATTGTATGATTGTGTGATTGATAGAGATCATTGAGGTGGGCGTAGCTGTATATTATCTTTGGGGTGGCGGAAACAACAACAAACACAAAAGTTATTAACGGTCAAATTTCACACTAAGCATTTTGTATATTCAAATGTTTCAAAAGCCCTTTCATTAATTTTGAAAATTTTGATGTCATTCGATAGAGAATTGAACATAAAAAAAATTGAATTTATGTAAAAACTAAATTTAAACAAACCCATTTTATATGAAAAATTTCTGGAAATATATAGCATATTTATCAAGCTTTCATTTGATATGCGTTATAATCCCTTAGCGCTGCCGAAGGCCGCCTACGCAGAAAGGTGTTCTCTGGAAAAGGTGTTCGCCCCTCCTATACTTAGTCAGTGTTATAATCCCTAAGCAATTTAGGGGCAATTTCAAATGAATATTTGAATTGCACTTAATTTTAATTGTGGACTGTTGTTTAAATGACATTTAACTTTCGTTGGGTTTCAGATCAACTTTGTTTAAATATGCCAAACAATTGTCAGCACTGCTGCTTGTTCCCTGAAATTATTTTTGCATTTGCTTGGTTGTTTACATTTTGTGCTGAACAGCTGATTGTTTTTTGGTGGAATTTGGTGGGATTGATTAAACAACCTACCAATCAATCTTGGTTGTTAGGTACAAACACAGGGTTACATATCCCATATTTAAGTAGCCAATATTGGCCATTTAAATTCAGATTAAGGCCCTGTGCCAATTGATAGAAAGGGCCTGTGCCAATTAATAGTGTTACGATTATCCTCGAAACCTTGAGGGATTACCCAAATATACTCG